TAGAGTCTCTGTTTGCCTGTTTTTCACTGCCAACATATACTGAGGTGGTTGATTGACTTGTTCTGTCCTCTATCTTTTCATAGTTAGGATTCTGAGTCCAGCATTTCAATTGGGGAGGTCCCCAAAGAAACTTTGTCTGAGGTATTCCCAGACCAGACTGTTGTATGTACTAGCAAGTACAGGGCCTGGCACAGTCATCACCCAGATTAGCTGGTGCTTGCAATTGCTGGGTTGGTTCTGTTTCCAGTCCTGACTTCCACTGGAACCAATGGGTGTTGCAGTCCAGCCTGGTTCTGCCCAGCACACACTCGGCCCTCGCATGAACCAGTGGGAGCTGCAAGGGCTAGGTCTTCTGAAATACTTTTGAGACATCTCCATAACCTGACTAAGAACCTTGGGTTCTTGGAAAGTCACAAAAGGGGAGGGACAGTGCTTATCACAAGATTGAATTTCATTCCAAGATAAGATCTTTCTTTTCTTTTTACAATTCAGGCAGTAAGCTGATTGTCCCAAATAGTTTTCTGTGGATAGAATTGGAAGAACCTGTTTGGCTGGTTCAGTTGTTTGCTACTAGGTGGGATGCAATTCCCACTGATTGGATAGTTGGAAGTGCATGATGCTTAAACTGGGTATCTGCTCCATGCCATTAAAGTTGATTGGATCTTTTTTAATACATAACTGATTAGGCCTCAAAGGGTCAAGGGTCAAGGGCTACAGGAAAGTGGGTAAGATCATTGTTTTCACATTCTCTTTTTTGTTTCCTGTATCTGGGAGAAGGGGAGAGACAAAGGGAGAAGTCACACCCACCTTCCCAATCATCCCAGGGTCCCCAGTGTGGGGCATGTTCCAAGGGCACTGCTCAAGCGGTTTCAATAGTTGAACAGTTCTGAATTGCTGCTGATCTTGCCACTCCAAACATGATGAAATCACTTCAGAGTCCACTGTTTGACATAGTCCACCTTAGCATTTCCACTTGCCCAGATTTTCACTGCCAACACTTAGCTGGACTAGTTGATCAATTTGTTCTGTCCTTGTTGTGGTACCAGGTGTCCTCTGTAGGCTCCAATGTACTACCATATCCTCCATGTACAACAAGGCTATGCTGTCCACTACTCCATCTGAGTCACTGAGGAGTCTCAGCATTGACACATGGCCTCCATGGTCAGACCATGGAACCTGCACTTCTCTTCATGGCTGAAATTCTGAGTCCAGCAGTTCAATTGGGGTGATCCCCAAGGAAACTTTGTCTGAGGTGATCCCAGACCAAATATCTTATGTGTGTTTGCCAATACAGGGTCCAGCACAGACCATAGATCCAGTCAGCATATGCATATGCTGGTGGTTGCAATTGCTGGGTCAATTCTGCCTCCAGCCCCATCTTCTACGTAAATCAGTGGGTGTTGAGTGATTGGATCTTTTGCACTGTTCACTGATGCAGGCTTGGTTGATTGAATGAGTTGCACCATGCACCAGTGCTCTCATAGTTGGTTTATTTATCATTGCTTCAGAACCCTTGAACAGGGCTGGCATTCTAACTGGTGGCTAATCTTTGCATTGCATGTGCCAGAATCCCATATGGGTCCCAGTTTGTGTCCTGGCTGCTATTTCCCATCCAGCTCCCTGCCTGTGACCTGGGAAAGCAGAGGAGGATGGCCCAAAGTCTTCAGACCCTGCACCCACGTCAGAGACCCCGAAGAATTTGGGCTCCTGGTTTTGGATAGCTCAGCTCTGGTCATTGCAGCCACCTCGGTGTTGCAGGATTTTTGACTCCGAGTATGGCAGCAACCTCAAATTCTTGTCTCGCAGGAAAGAAGAATTTTCATGCGGACACAGTTTAGTTTTAAAGCAAGATTTATTAGAAAAGTTGAGAAGAGAAGACTCCCGTCCTAGCGACGGGAGGGGGTTTTGAGATAGAAAGGACCCTCAGCCCCTGCCATAGTGGCAGGAGGAAAAGGACCCCAGTGCTCTGCCATAGTGGTAGGAAGACAAGAACCCTAGTGCTCTGCCATAGTGGCAGGAGGACAAGAAGCAAAACCCTATTAATGGTGGGGAATGCACCTTTTAAAGGTTTCCCTCAAAGATGTTTCTCCATGAACAAAGAAAATTCCTAGTTTCCATGGTACCTGGCCTTGGGACAAAAGGCCACAGAGGTGCCAGACATAGGACATTCCAGGCCTTAGGCAGATGTGTATTACTTCTTCCTGCTCTCCTTTCAATGATAAAGAGATCAGCCTGAGGCCCTCCCACAATGGCCGGAGGTGATGGCTGATACTTCAGGTGGGGAATTGATATGCTAATAGCATCCTTATCCCTTGGAAGAGATGTGCTTTGGTGAGTTCAAGACATGGTGGGGAAATTCTCTTTTACTCAGGGACCCAGAATACCCTAACTGCCTACTACCCACTCTAACTCCTCTCTCATGGGGAGTGAAACAATAGACAGAAGACCTTTTTTTAATCTCTCCTTCTCTCTGTAAATCTGCCTTTCCAATAAAAATTAAAATAAATCTTAAAAAAAAAAAGAACCTCTGAAAATGGCTGATCAGGACCTCTCTCTTCTTCCACATGGGGTAGAATGGGACAGGCCCTGTTGTGCCCAGATTTTGAGATCCCCAGAAATCATCAGGTGTCTGAAGTTGATCCAAGTGCACAGGATGGTTTATTGAAGCTCAGCACATACGAGCCTGGTTGTTGGTTGAAAGCAGGCAGCTGGCTGACCAACACCCCTTACCAGGAGTGTGGCCTGAACAGCACATTCATAGGGTATTCATATGGGCAGTCCACAATAGCTTGAAAAGAGGCAAATCATAATAGCCTGCAAGGTGAGGGGCAATGAGCCATGAACAAATGGTTGGGATTTTGATATTCAGGTTCTTCACCATCAGTCAGTGCCAGCCTGTGAATACTCCTGAGCTTCTAAGAGTCTGCTTCATTTCTGGGATAGATTTGATCAACTCACAACATAAGGTGGTAGAAAAAAGCTCTGAAGCATATTCATACCTGGACTAAACTTTTTTTTTTTAAGATTTATTTTTTTATTTATTTATTTTTTTATTGGAAAGGCAGATATACAGAGAGGAGAGACAGAGAGGAAGATCTTCTGTCCAATGATTCACTCCCCAAGTGAGCGCAACGGCCGATGCTATGCTGATCCGAAGCCAGGAGCCTCTTCCGGGTCTCCCACGCGGGTGCAGGGTTCCAAAGCTTTGGGCCGTCCTTGACTGCTTTCCCGGGCCACAGGCAGGGAGCTGGATGGGAAGTGGGGCTGCCGGGATAGAACCGGTGCCCATATGGGATCCCGGGCGTGCAAGGCGAGGACCTTAACCACTGCGCCACTGCGCCGGGCCCTAAACTTTTTTTTTTTTTTAAGATTTATTTATTTTATTGGAAAGGCAGATGTACAGAGAGGAGGAGAGACAGAAAGGTAAATCTTCCTTCCAATGGTTCACTCTCCAAATGACTGCAATGGCCGGTGCTGCATCGATCTGAAGCCAGGAGCCAGGAGCCAGGAACTTCTTTCCGGGTCTCCCACATGGGTGCAGGGTCCCAAGACTTTGGGTTGTCCTCGACTGCTTTCCCAGGCCACAAGCAGGGAGCTGGATGGGAAGTGGAGCTTCTGGGATTAGAACCTGCACCGATATGGGATCCTGATGCATTCAAGGTGAAGACTTTAACCATTACGTTATCGCACCAGGCCCTAAACAAAACTTTTTAAAAGGTTTTTTTAATAGGGCTATAGCACATTATCTTACACACATCTGTATTTTAAAATGATTTAGTTAAGATACCTTTATGTTTCCGTAACTAAATTTAATTTTTTAAAGAAAATGAAAGAAGAGACCTTATTTGAACATGCCATATTTTCTTCTTGTTGAGTTACTGTTCTCTATCTGCCAGTATCTCTTAAGGAAGTTTGACCCAGTAGTGAAGATGCTTTTTGAGATCCTTGCATAAGGCAGCGCCTAGCTTGAGTCTCTGTTCTGCTCTGTTCACTGTTAATGCAGACCCTGGGTAGCAGCAGGGGTGGCTGCTGTAGGGGGTTTCACCACACAAGGAAAAGGGGACCTCAGTTTTTGTCTCACAGGAAAGAATTTTCATGCGGACAATTGCAGTGTGAGAAGCAAGATTTGCTAGATATTAAAGGTGGAAACCTGAGTAGCAGCAGCTGGGGGGGGGGAGGGTTTTGAAAGAGAAACACCCAAGAAAATGGTGGAAGTCTTGCTTAAGCACACTTTTGAGAGAGAAAAAGCTAGAACAGCAGCAGTTAACCATCACAGGCTGGAATTCTAACCCTGTCTGGCTTGCTCAGAACAAAAAGGGTGTGACAGGCAGCCTTCTTTTCTCATGAGGAACCAAAACCTCACGCACTATTTTCTTGCTGCTTCTTTGCAAATATGCAAAGAGGTAGAGGTTGACACTTCTGTTTGGTCAAAGATCATTTTTAGAGGAGTCTTGCATCCCTTCAGTGGGATTTCCTGTTCTAGAACCCAGGGAGGTAAATTCACATTCCAGTAACGTGTCCCCCTATTAGCCCTGTTGCTATTCGTATGATTGACCAGAAACCAAAAGGAATACATATTTCCACGGGGGGTGGGGGCATAAATAGGGAAGAAGCAAACTTTCATATTTCTCAAAGGAAAATTTCACCAGGGACCATAACCCTAGTTAGCTTTACAGTACTGTGGGCATTTAATGTGTGAAACAGCCAAAAGATTCTTTTCTGCCCTTAAATGAATTTTTAAAAATTTAAATTCTCATATTGAAAAGAAAATGGCATACACACTTCTTTTTCTATATTATCCGAACTCCCCGCGGAGCTTAAACTACAGCAAACTAGAATCATCCACAGAGATAGAGAAAAAATCCTTGATGCCTTCCGGAATAAAAAAAAAAAAAATCTCGGCGCTTTATGGGAAATGTAGTATCAGGTCGAATTCCTGGAGGACTCGGGAAACCGCAGAGCATCATTTCCGCACATGCGCCCTGAGGTGGTCAGGAAGCTTTGCATTCGTTGACGTGCATCGGTGCTGCGGGGCGCCGGATTCCGAAGGTCTTGGGGCGCTGCTGAAGAACAAAGACCTGTTTGTGATTCGCAGGAAGAAAGTTAAGTCTTAACTTTCAGGGAAGCTTTATGTGCGTGGCCGTCTGGCTTCTAGAAAACCCGGGAAGGACTGCCGCTCCCCTGGTCTTGCTGGAGTTCGGTAAGTCTTGCTGTGCTGCGACTTGGGGCGAAGTGTGTGTGTGTTTCTGGGGAGCCTTTCGCTGTGTGATGACCTGTAGCTGGTCCCATTCCAGGAGGTTTTTGGCGCGCAAACGGCTGAACCCCTTCGCAAGGCAGCCAGCGTGTCCGGTGACCGACATTGTTGAGCTCTTGGGAAAGAGCGTGGCATTTCTCTCGTTGGTCGTGCGAGGTTAGTAGCCTCCTCCTGCTTTGTTTTGTTTTGTTTTTAGACAGAGAGGCAGGAAGTTACCTGCTTGAAATCACACAGTAGAGGAGAAAATGTTCAAACTCAGTTCAGTTTTATCCCAGAGTTCATTCAGTCTGTAACCCACAGTTCTGCCAAAGCTGAGTAAATCCCAACTTCATCGTTGTTTTGTGGAGATTTCTGGAAGACTGTGTCGTGGAGCACATAGGTCTCTGTTGCATGTTCCTGGCCTCTTTGATTTCCAGCAGCCCTGGCTAAAAGTCTGCGACAGGCCAACCCGGAGCCACAGGTGGTCACGAGTTAAAGGAATTCAGGCCCCACCCATAGGTCCCCTTGAAGCAGTGTTGCTTGGCCGACCTCCAGCCCATCAGAACTAGGAAAAAGAAAAGGGTAGCCAGTTCATGAGAGGACGCTCTCCTGACCAGAGCCGTCCTAACCCAATTTGAGGCACTATTAGGAATCCTCGATTGTCTTCTTGGAAAGGGAGTATAGCTTGACTCAAGGCATTAAACCCTGAGGCAGTCAATTAAAGTGTTTGAAGGGAGATTAAGTATTTGAGAAGAATGCAGGTTGTGGGCCTGGATGGTTAGGTTCTGTGGGTTAGAGAATGAGGGAGGTGAAGATAAGGAAGGAGCTAGTTGGTTTTTTTTCCAATAATTATTTTATTTTTGATGATGTTTACATAGTTAAGAAGGAGCATGCCCCTGTGGACCATCAATTAGGGGGAGGGTTGAGGAATGGGGGAGATGGATGAGACAACTGTTTCTAATCTCTTTTCTTCCTGTACCTGGGGAAAGTGGGGAAGAGGACCACTCCCAGCAGCCTAAGTGCATCAGTGACCGGGGATGGCTGATGGCTGCCGGGTGTCATCCCAGGGTCCCCGATGAGGAGCGTGTTCCATGATGTTGATAGTTCTGAGATGCTGTTGATTTGTTACTCCAAGGTTGAGGAAATCCTTCCAAGGTTCATTGGCTGACATAGTCCACCTTGGAATCTTGAATTGTCCAGATACTGGCTGTCAAAGCTTGACCGGGAGAGCTGTCCAATTTGTTCTGCGCTGCCCCATACCCTCCCCCCCGCCATATCCTGGCACATTCAAAACGAGGACCTTAACCATTACGCTATTGCGCCAGACCCAGATCTTGTACTTTCAATGTGGTTTTGCAGTCCAGCCTGACGTGACTTGCCCCAGGCCCAGCACCTGCTAGCTGATGTTGCAGCAATGCCTGAACAGCCCACACTTTTGGCTCATGCATGCACCAGTGGATATGGTTGCTCATCCCAACCTGGCTTTCCCTCTAACCCAGCTCACATGCAGGCCATTGTGCTTTGTGGCCCTGCCCAGCCTAGTGTGCCTCCATTCCCAGCTTTCATGCTCACCAGCAGGAGAGGTGGCCCAGCAGGGGAACCCCAACAATTCCCCCACTAGGCATGCCACCTTGCCCCCCAATCTTATGTGTGTTGGTATATGCTGTGGCACAGTTTGGCATGTCTTATCTCGTCTTGGCATTCAACAGTAGTTGCTGCAACCTGGCTTGGCCCCATCTACCCTCAGTTCCAGCTCATGCTGGAAGGTGTTGCAGCCTAGCCCAGCCTGGCCAGCCCCCAGTCTGGGTCTTTATGTGAACTGACAGGTGTTGCATCCCAACCTGGCCTGTCCTGACACACCTGCCAGTAGATGTTGAGGACTAGCTCAGGCTGGCCCACCTCTAAACCTGACCCACATATATCCTGACAGGTACTGTATCCCAGCCTGGGCTTGACTGCCCCTAACCTTGGTTCTTGAGTTCCCCCACTGGGGCTGTGTTTAGCAGGGGAGTTCCCCAAGCTTCACTGACAGGCCAGTTCTCAGTTATGGATCTTGCACACTCATTCACACTCATTCTGGCTCTCACTGACGAGTGCTATGGCCCAGCCCTGCCTGGCCCACCCCCAGATCATTGAGTACTGTGACCTAGCCCAGCCCATCTCACACCCATTCTGGCTTTAATGAGCACTAAATAAGCATATAACGGAGCCTAGCAGAGGGGACACATCCTAAGACCCAGCCCCCACACATGCTGAGGGATGTCTAGTATTGTTCAGCCAGTATGCCCCATTCCTGGCTCTTGCGCTTACCAGTAGGAATAGTAGCTCAGCAGGGGCATCCCTTTAAGTCCTCTTACCCACTCCCCCAACCATAGATCTTTCATATGCCAGTGGCTGCTCCAGCTAAGCCCGGCCTAACCCTCATCTTGGCCCTTGCTGTTCAGTGCTGCAGCCTGGCCAGGCCAGCCCCCATTTCCAGCTCTTGCCGGTAGATGTTACAGCCTCAGCCTGCCCAGTCTGCCCTCATCCCTGTCTTTCATGCAAACTGGTGGGTGTGATAGCCTAGCTCAGCATGGCTCGCATTTTGTTTTGTTTTGGCTCCTACACACTCCAATGTGTTGATTTCGCCCAGCTTTGTCCAGTTCACCCCCACTCCCCACCCCCCAAGCCAGCCCCAACACTTGCTGACAAGTGGAGCCAACTTACCTGTTCTGGGCCACTCACAGTCCTGATCTGTGCTCACCAGTGGGAACCATAGCCCATCAGGGGTGTTCCTCAAGTTCCCCCACCAGGCCCACTCCTAGACCCAGATATCATAAGTGTCTGTGGGTGCTAGCCCCTGACCCGGTATAGTCCACCCCTGAGTTTTGCCCTTTGTGTATGCTGGTGGATGTTGTGGCCCAGCCCTCCTCATATCCAGTTCTTGGGTGTTCTTGTGGGTGCTGCAGCCTGAACTAACCCAGCCTGTTCCCAACCCCACTTCCCATAAGCATGAGTGGCTTCCATGGTCATGCCTAGTTCAATTTGTCATTACCACCAGCTCTTGAGCAAACCAGCTAGTATTGCAGCTCCACAGGGGTAAGCCTACAAATCCCCCACAGAATTTGCCACCAGACTCAGTTCTCTCACGTGCTAGTTAGTGTCATAACCCATGCCCTGCTGCAACACTCCCTGGTAAGTACTGTGGTCTAGCACTGCCGGCAGGCATCTAACCCTAGTTTTCGTGTGCACTGGTGGGCACTGGTCAATACCAACTAGCCCAGCTCAGGTCTCCCACATGGGTTGGGTGCATTGTTCTGCCCTATAAACGTCCTCTAGCTTCCCTCCTCCAAATCACCTGGTCTCAGCCTCCTTGCTTTTACAGTAGTCTGCTCAGTGGAAGTCCCCCAAAATTCATTGCTCACTTGTAATGTTCTCCCTCAGTGGTCCTGTCTCCCACACATTCCCATACCCCCTTCTCTTAGCAGTCCATAAACCCCATCCCACTATTGCACAGGAACCCAAGTCCAGTCTTCCAGCGGCGTGGAGTGGCTGCTTGAGGTCCTGCCTGTCTGCTTAGGGGCTACACATGCTCACACACACGTCCCCAGACCCCATCTGCTGGCATGCCAGCATGCCAACGTCTGTCCCCTACATATCTGTTTTTTTTTTTTTTAATAGAATAGGTAACTATGCTGACACACTGATATAATTAACCCAAATTTGGTATTAATCGTGCCTAAAATACCTACCAGTTATCAGCTGCTTTTCTCCCAGCGGTGCAATAAGTCAACTTAGGCATTTGCCTATGGTTGGGATGGAATCTCAGAGTTTATAAAAGGATAAGTCGTCATTCCCAAATCATTGTTCTTTGTCCTGCCTTACTGTTCAGTTGAGCTAAGTAAGTTTCTTTTGAAAATGTGTAACAAGGAGAGGATCAGCAAGAAGCTCTTCTACTAATTCATCCAGCAAATGTACATGTCAGGTTTGGAGGTGCTTGGACATGCTGGGGAGAAAGAGGCTGTTAGCCTAGGCAATGCTCTTTATTGTCGGAGGAGAGTCAGACAGACCGCTTCCTCAGTTATACAGCACTGGGGATTTATACATTTTACACGTGGGAAGTGTGAGGAACAACCAAAGAGAGGCAGCAGGTGTCAGCATCTGCACTGGGGGATAAGGCAGCATGGGCAGCAGCATCAGGTTCAGCAGGGTGCTCTTCAGGGAGAGGAGGATTCTGCACTGCCCAGCCTAACAATATGCTGAGTGTTTCTTTTGAGCCTAACACTCTTCTGGTACCTGGCGAGCAACAGTGAACACGACAAAGCCACTGCTTTTCCTGGAGTGATTTAAAACTAAATAGGGCTGGTGTTTGGTATAGCATTTAAGATGCTGTTTGAAGCATCCCATGTTCAAGTGACTAGCTTTGGGTTCCAGCTTCACTCCTGGTTCCATCCTTCTGCTAATGTAGACCTTGGGAAGCAAAGTTGATGGCCCAAGTTGTTGAATTAGAGACCTACATGGAGTTTCTGGCTTCCAGCTGCAGCCTGGCCTAGTCCTAGTTGTGTGGGCATTTGTGAAGTGAGACGGTGGATGAGAGCTGTAACTTCCTCCTCTCTCTGCCTCTCTAATTCATTAATGAACGGACCTAAATAGGCAGATATAGCCTACCTTTAATGATGAGTGAAGTTTGGAGAATTAAAGCGAGATAAGGGTTTCCAGAGACATGGTGACAGCAAGGGAGGTTATTTTCTAAGAGGCAGTCCAAAAAACTCTTTCCTGTAAGTAAAGTTTAAACTGAGAGCTGTGGAATGTAGAGTGAGCTGTGCAGAATCTGATTGTATCCTGTGGAATGTAAAATGATCCATGTAGAATATGGCTGTATCCTGTGGAATGTAGAGTGAGCCCTGCAGAGTCTGGCTGTATCCTGTGGAATGTAGATGAGCCATGTAGAATATGGCTGTATTCTGTGGAAGAACAGCCCAGGCACAGGGCTCCTGAGTGGCCCAGCTTGATGTTTCAGAATAGTAAGGATGCTGAATGGCTGATGAGAGTGAAGCAGTGAGAGAAGAATTGCAAGACTGGAGTAGATGAGGCCTGGAAAGTTGGGACCAAGGTGGCATGGTCCTTGGAGAGTGCTGTCTAAAAGAATAAGTAGTATGTTTTAAGTTTTTTAAAAGATGTATTTATTTATTTTAAATTTTTGTTTTTCATGGTATAGTTCCATAGGCTCAGGGATTTCCCCTTCCACCCCCCTCCCCATTCCCCTTACCCCACTATTTTCCCCTATATTATTACAATAGTATAGTCCTTCAACAATAGTCACATGTCCATCATTCTGCCATTTAAGTGTATCATGAATTGTAGATATAGACAATGTTAGAAAAGCCCAGCATTGGGCCCTGTGCAGTAGCCTAGCGGAAAAAGTCTTCGCCTTGAGTGCCCACCGGGATCCCATATGGGTGCCAGTTCTACACCTGGCAGCCCCACTTCTCATCCAGCTCCCTGCTTGTGACCTGGGAAAGCAGTCGAGGATGGCCCAAAGCTTTGGCATCCTACACTCACAGGAGACCTGGAAGAGGCTCCTGGCTCCCGGCTTCAGATTGGCTCAGCTCCAACCATTGCGGTCACTTGGGGAGCGAATCATCAGATGGAAGATCTTCTCTGTCACTCCTCTCTGTTTATCTGACTTTGCAATAAGAATAAATAAATCTTTTTTTTCTTTTTTAAGTCCAGAATCAAGATATATTTAACAGTTTAATTGGGAGTCCATCTTTTATTTGGGAGTAGGGATGCATACTTCACTTCTTGGTATGTTAGTCTCCATAATACAGTTCCTTTAGATGAATATATGTGTGTGTATATATATATATATATATATATATATATATATATATACATGTTTACCTGTATATCCATTGAGAAGTATTTATATTTTTACTGGAAAGGCAGATTTGCAGAGAGAAAGTCAGACAGAAAGATCTTTCACACACCGGTTCATTCCTCCAATGGCCCCAATGGCCAGAGCTGAGCTGAACTGAAGCAAGGAGCTTCTTTCAGGTCTCCAATGAGATTGCAGGGTCCTAAGGCTTTGAGTCATCACCGCTGCTTTCCCAGATCATAAGCAGAAAGCTGGATGGGAAGTGGAACAGCCTGGACACAAATTGGCACCCATATGGGATGCCAGCACTTGGAGATGGAGGATCAGCCAGTTGAACCACCCCTACAAGTGGTGTCTTGCAAAGTATGTGGGAAACACAGGTATGCCCTGTACTTGAAAAAGTGCATGCATTGTAATGTGTTTATATAATATATTGTACATGTCCACAAAATGAAAAATACATTGTAAAACATTTAGTAAGTACACAGATGTAAGAGGATACATGTTTAAAGTTATACAATTCTGTAGTTCCAGTCTTAAACAATAATTATTTACGTCTTGATACGCAGTTCATGCTGTGTCTGCCTACGTACATGCTTTCCTTTAGGGGGAAGAGATCATATCATAATAGGGTAATTAAAAAAATACATGGAAAATAGAATTAAAAGATAAGCAGACCTGACTTAAAAAAATTTTTTTTTTGAAGTTTGGTCAATCTGCCATCCAAGTTCTGCTTTCTGGAATTCAAACTGAGTTTCCTGTGTCGGAGGGAGGCAGGTGCTTGGGTCACGGCGTGCTGCCTCTCAAGGTCTGCATCAGCAGGAATCTGAATCAAAAGTAGAAGAGCTAGGACTAGAACACTCTGCCCTCCGGTAGGGGGTGCAGGTGTCCCAAGTGGTAACTTGACAGCTCTTAAGTGCTTGCCCCCTCGCAAATATATACATATATATTTATTTATTTATTCATTTATTTATTTTTTTAGTCTAAGAGACAGGTAGCTAGTGGTATCTTGGTTCACTTCTCAGATGCCCACAGTAACTGGGGAGTGAAGCCAAGCGCCAGGAACTAATTACAGCTAGGCCAAACATCTGCCCTGGTAGAAATTCTTTTTTTTTTTTATGATTTTTTTTTTTTTTTGTATTGGAAAAGCAGATATACAGAGAGGAGAGACAGAGAGGAAAATCTTCTGTCCATTGATTCACTCCCCAAGTGACCGCAACAGTTGGAGCTGAGCCAATCCGAAGCCAGGAGTCCAGAACTTCTTTTGGGTCTCCCATACCAGTACAGGGTCTCAAGGCTTTGGACCGTTCTTGACTGTTTTTCTAGGCCACAAGCAGGGAGCTGGATGGGAAGCGGGGCTGCCGGGATTAGAACTGATGCCCACATGGGATCCCAGCGCAAGCAAGGCAAGGCCCCTAACCACTAGGCTACCTCGCCAGACCCATAGAAATTCTTAATAGTATAATCCTTATTGCCATTACAAAGAATGCTTTTTACTTATTTATTTATATTTGTTTCTTAATGTGGAAAGACAAAGAGATCATGCAACTGCTGGTTTGTTCTACCAATGTATGTAGTGGTGGGAGCTCGACCTAATCAAAGTCAGGAACCAGGAGCTCCAATTGGTTTTCCCATGTGTGTGGCAGGAAGCTAGCTGGCTATGCCTATGTCAGGGTGTGCATTAGCAGGAAGGTAGAGTTGGAAGCCCAGCTGGCACTCACATAGAGGATGCCAACATCCTAAGTGGCATCCAGTGGCTGTGTCAAACACCCACTCCTTTAGCATCATTTTTTAGTGACCACATAAGAGTCTACTATTTGAATAATCATGATTTTTAAAATCAGCACTCTTGGGTTGTGCTGACAAAGGTGTCAAAACAATACTTTTAACTTTCCGTTTGTAAAAATCATACCCATTTTATTGAATGCTTATCATATGCCATATGTTTTGAATGCTTTCCATGTATTAGCTATTTACTTCTCATAGAATTCCCATGATAGAGGTGCTGTTATTGTCACCATTTTGCAGATATGAAAACTGAGAGCAGTTGTCCTCAGGGTCAGACCACTAGGAGAGGACAGAGTTCGTGCCTCGGCTCACTGCCCATTTGTTCATTCAGATTCCACTTTGTTTCCCAGTGAAGTGGCAGTGCCTCATTAGACACCATAGCATACAATAGAAAAATGTTAACAGTTAAGTATATCAACAGGGGAAATACAGGTTGATATTTTCGTTGAATGGAACGTTAAAAAATTGATATGGGAGGGGGCACAGGATCTATCCAGTTTATAAGGTTGAGATGTGAATTTGTATAGTGTGTGACAGTTGTAATATGATTTTGTTTTTCACAGATTTTAATTCTGGGTTAAGGAGTTCCTAGTTCTCCTGTGGGTGTACTGTGGCTCTGCACAGTGGACGTAATCAGAGGACACAGTCTGAATCTTCTACACCCCTTGGTGGCCTTCCCTGCAGGGGGAAGATGAATGGTCTGCTGCAGGAATCACTGACATTCCAGGACGTGGCCATCGACTTCACTCCAGAGGAGTGGGAGCTGCTTGCTGATGATCAGAGGACCCTGTACTGTGACGTGATGCTGGAGAACCTGAGAAACCTAATCTCACTGGGTGAGGACAGCTTCCTCACAAACTGGGCATGTGCAAACACAGCATCCGTCCTTTGCTTCTCGGGAAGGTTGTGGATGTTGCTCAGACTTTCGTCAGTTTGGCCCTGCATTTCAGCCATGGAGATCCCTAATCCCCTTGGGTGACAGATGGTCTGGTTCTTTGTCCACTTCCCAAGTGGAGACGGGGCTGTTGTGTTCTGAAGCCCACTTAAAAGCCCCTTCAGGGCCCTGAGGCTCAAAGGAAGAGACTTACGCTGGGAGGGGGTGGTCTCTTTAGCACTTTGTGCCCACTTCTGTGTTGTCTTCCCATAAACAGGGTACCCAGTTACCAAGACAAAGGTCTTCGTTGAGGTGGAGCAAGGACAAAAGCGGCAGAAGGTGAATGGATGGAAGCCATACTGGAGCCATACAGGTGAGTGAGAAAAAACCCAAACAGGTATTTTTGGAAATTGGTGAGTGCGTGAAGCCTCTAGTTTGTTCTTTCCCAAGATTGTTTTGACTTTTTGGGCTCCCTTGTTTTGTGTGAATTCTAAGATTTTTAAAATTTCTGCAAGTATCTGTTGGGATTTTGATAGAGATTACATTTGAATCTGTATTGAATTCACTTTGGGAATGTTGACATTTAAAAATGTTAAGTTCCGGGCCCGGCGGCATGGCCTAGCGGCTAAAGTCCTCGCCTTGAACGCACCGGGATCCCATATGGGCACCAGTTCTAATCCCGGCAGCTCCACTTCCCATCCAGCTCCCTGCTTGTGGCCTGGGAAAGCAGTCAAGGACGGCCCAAAGCTTTGGGACCCTGTACCCATGTGGGATACCCAGAGGTAGTTCCTGGATGCTGGCTTCGGATCAGCATAGCATCGGCCGTTGCACTCACTTGGGGAATGAATCATCGGACGGAAGATCTTCCTCTCTGTCTCTCCTCCTCTCTGTATATCTGACTTTCCAATAAATAAATAAATCTTAAAAAAAAAAAAATTTAAGTTCCAATCCACTTGCATTGAATGTCTTTCCACTTATTTGTGTTCCATTCAGATTCTTTTAGCAGTGTTCTGTAGTTTTTGTCTTGTAAGACTTAAAATGTATTCACTATTCATTCATTTTGAGAGGCAGACACAAAGTTACCATTTATTGGTTTACTTCTTAAATACAACAGCTAGAACTAGACAGGCCAAATCCAGGAGCTGGGCACTCAGCCCTTGTCCCCGATGTCAGGGCAGGCATCCAGCTACCTGGGCCACCAACTGCTTCCCCCCCGGGGACATAGCAGTAAGAAGCTGGGCTTGGGCCTAAGGCCGTGCCACCCTGAATGCGCCCGATCTCGTCTGATCTTGGAAGCTAAGCAGGGTCAGGCCTGGTTAGTACTTGGATGGGAGAAGTTGGGCTTGGCAGTGCGGCTGAGACTTGAACCCAGGAAGTGCAGTATGCGATGGGGGTCCCAAATAATATCTTAACCCTTAAGCCAAACATTTGCCCGTGTTAGAAGTGTTTTATCTTCTCAATTCCTAACTAATTTTTTTGTGCTTTTTAAATAAGTTTTATTTTATTTTGTTTTATTGGAAAGGCAGATGTACAGAGAGATCTGATCTGAAGCCAGGAGCCAGGAGACTCTTCCAGGTCTCCCATGTGGGTGCAGGATCCCAAGGCTTTGGGTAGTCCTCTGCTGCTTTCCTAGGCCACAAGCAGGGAGCTGGATAGGAAGTGGAACAGCCGGGACATGAACCGGTACCTCCCATTTGGGATCCCAGCAAGTGCAAGGCGAGAATTTAGCCACTAGGCTATCACAACTGGGCCCTTTTGGTGCAATTTTAAGTGGAGTTGTTATTTTCCTAGTTTCTTTTTACATTATCGTTATTGTATAGAAACAGTTGATTTTTATTTGTTGGTTTTTGTTTTCTTACAACTTAGTTGAATGTGTTAGTTATTTTGAAGCTTTGCTGAATTTGTTAGTTCTAGAAATGTTTTTATATAGCCTTTATGGTTTCCTACATATAAAAAATCATGTCATCTGTAGAAAGAGACATACCTTTTGTTTGGATACTGCTTTTTTTTTTTTTTTAAGATTTATTTATTTTTATTGGAAAGGCAGGTATACAGAGAGGAGGAGAGATAGAAAGATCTTCAGTCCATTGATTCACTCTCCAAGTGGCTGCAGTGGTCAGAGCTGAGCCGATCTGAAGCCAGGATCCTCTTCTTCATCTCCGACCCTGGTGCAGGGTCCCAAGGCTTTGGGCCGTGCTCCACTGCCTTTCCAGGCCACAAGCAGGGAGCTGGATGGGAAGTCGGGTTTCCGGAATTAGAACCTGCGCCCACATGGGATGCTGGGCCATGCAAGGTGAGAACTTTAGCCACTAGGATACTGCACCAGGCCCTGTGTTCCATTATTTCAAAGGCAAAGTTACAAGGAGAGGAAAGGAAGGAGGGAGAGCAAGAGAGAGATCTTTGATATTTGGTTCATTCCATGACTGGCTACAACAGCCAGGGCATGGCCAGGCCAAATCTAGGCTTCAGGAACTTCTTCTGGGTCTCCCATGTGGGTGCAGGGACCCAAGGACTTGGGCCATATTCTACTGTGCCAAGTGCATCAGGAGAGAGCTGGATAGGAAGTAGCGCATCCAGGACTTGAATCAGTGCCCATATTAGGTGCCAGTGCTATAGGCAGCAGCTTGACTTGCTATCCCACAGCACTGGCCTTGAAGGTTTCTTTTTCTTATTAATAGTTCAATAGTATATTGAATAGAAATAACAAGAATATTGCCTGAATCCAGAGACTTTTTGAAATTTCTTTCTGTAATGTTAAATTGGAAAAAGTAACCGAAAATGTTTTTCTTACTTCTTTTTAGAAGTTGTCTGCCTCCTTTGTGAACTAGAGAGACAGGAGGGAATCCAAGATGACTTTTTGAATCAACATACATTTATCATCAAGAAAAAACTGTCTAAGAAGGGAGACCGGAAGTGCAGTCTGAGTGGAAGCGTTATTTCGTCAAGACAAGAGAAACCTAAGACTGAATCAGATGGAAACAGTTTGCATACTAATTTTTACGTACTTAGTTACAATAAAAAATATAATGGAGAAAACACTTATGAGGACAAGGAATGTGGTAATGCCTTCAAAAACAAGTTTTATCTTATTAGATACAAAAAGAAAGCGTGCAAGAAAAAACCCTGTAGCCCCAATGAGAGTGAGGATGCCTTCCACGAGAAGGCTCCTCTCCTGCGTCCCGAGAGAAACGATATACCAGAAAAGCAGAGCTCTACATGCAGTGAGTGTGGGAAAATGTTTAGCAGTATGGAAAACCTCGTAGCCCATAAAAAAACCCATACTGCAGAGCGGGCTTTTGTGTGCAATGACTGTGGCAAAGCTTTTATGCGAAAAACCCAGCTCGTGGCCCACCAGAGACTTCACACTGGTGAGAAACCGTACAAGTGCAACCAGTGTGGGAAGATGTTCACTTGGCACTCCTCTTTTAATCAGCATATAAAATCACACACGTTGGAGCACTTGTTTGAGTGTAAGCAATGTGGGAAAACCTTCAAGTACTGCTCATCCCTATATAAACATTGTAGAATTCATGCAGGTGAGAAGCCATACCGGTACAGAAAACGCAACAAAGTCCAGGCTGACTCGCCCGTGTTCCCCATGCGCCCCCGAACTCATTTGGACGAGAAACCCTACGGATGCACAAAATGTGACAAAGCCTTTGTTAGAAAGGCCCATCTCTTGCAGCACTACTTAAGTCATCTCGCAGAACAGCAGAGCAAATGTGACATGTGTGGGAACTCCTCCCCGGAGGACGCGTCTCACTCTCCATCAAAGAAGTCATGAAACGATGGAAGGCGGCAAGACTCAGGAGCGTTCTTAGCAATGAGGAATTCATCACCAAAAAAATAAGCTCCCATCAGGTGGGCAAATGTGTAAAGATAATCTTCTGGGGTTCATGTTTGTGATGCCATCAGTTTTCGAAAATGTGACTGGAGTTTTTAGAAATAGTTTTGCTATAGTATATAAAGTTTAGAAAATTATGACAAAATAAAATGAGAAAAATGAACAATATGACAATGATTATGTATAAGAGAATGTACTCTTCTGATAAATATTTTTATACAAATTATAAAAATATCTGCATTGCATAAGAATTTTATATAACCACAAGTTGAAATCTATCTTATACACATTATACAGAATTCTATCTATTATGATGAGGGTTGAACAGTATTGAGAATGTTTGTAGTGCCAGCAAGCTGTATACTTAGAATGGTTAAAATAGCAAATCCTATGTATATTTTGCTACAATTAAAAAAAAATGAAATTTTTGAAAATTGTATATCTTGTAAATTTTTTTTCAAATTCTTTTTTTTTTTCATTAATTTCTTTTAATAATCTTAGTTGATTAGGGTACAAAGGGTCAAGGGCTACAGGTGAAAGTGGGTAATATCATTGTTTCCACACTAATGTAATCATTTTGCCCTGTATCTGGGGCTAGGGGAGTAGCAAAGGGAAAAGCCTCACCCAACTTCCCACCCATCCCCCATCCCCAACATGAGGCGCTCTCCAAGGGTCCTGCTCAAACAGTTTTGATAGTTCATCAGTGCTGGATTGCTGCCAGTCTCACCGTCCCAACCGCAATGAAACCTATTCAGAGTCCACTGGCTGACAGTCTCTTGATGGTTGGGGTTCCAAGATCAGCAGTTCAGTTGGAGAGATATCCAAAGAAACCTCATCTGAGTTGATCCCAGATCTGATTCTTGTATGTGAGTTTGCAAGTACAGGCTCCAACACCATTCGTTACACCAATCAGCTTATGCACATGCTGGTCATTGCGATTGCTGGGTCCGTTCGGTTTCCAGCCCCGTCTTCCTTGCGAACCAATGGGTGTTGTAGTCCAGCTCGATCCTACCCACTTCATACTCGGTCTTCATGCAAACCAGTTGGAGCTGCAGCCTAGTTGGGGCGACTCTCCAAAACCCCTACCAGTTCTGCCCCCTATCCTGGTTCCCATGCTTGCCAGTATGTACCACAGGCTTGTCCAGTCTGTCCCACATCCCATTTAGCTCTCGCACACGTCAATGGACATTGAAGCCTGGTTCAACCCAACCAACCTATTATCCAGCCCATACACCCACTGGCAGGTGCCTTTCTGTCTAGCCACCCCTGCCCCATCCTGGTTTTCGTGCTTTCCAGTGGGGGTGGTAACCCTGAGGGAGGTGCCCACTATTTCCCTACTAGGCCACACCCACCCCCAGATTATGCAGTCTCCAGATGGTTCTGGCATTTGACTTGACAGAATTAGCTCCCAATACCAGCCTCTGCCAGCTAATGCTGTGGCTAAGCCCAAACACCCCTCAACCCACTCTAATTTTACTTGCACCAGTCAGAACAGTCAGCTCACCGTGAGGCCCACAGGTGCTATAGCCCTGCCTAGTCTGAACTTCCCCCATCCCAATTCACACTTTCCAATGGAAGTAGTTATGCAGCAGGGGAGCCCACTTTCCCCTGTTGGCTTTGCCTTCTCCCTGATTGTCACATGTGCTGTTTGTGCGCTGCAGCCCCATCTGGTACGGCTCATCTCACCTTGGTACACACTTGTTGTGTACTGGTATGTGTTGCAACCGAACCTGGCTCAACCCACACTCTGTTCTGGTGCTCAGATTCACCAGAAGGTAATGTGAACAGGTTCAGCCTGGTCTGCCCCCAACCCATGCCATGTGTATTTTTTTCAAATTCTAAAAAAGATTTGCATAATTGTCAGTTGTAAGTGAAAGTATGGATTATTATGTTGTGAAATTCAGTGTGATGAACTTTAATCATTTCTTGGTAGCTATCATGTGTGGCCTTGAGCTTTTTTTTAAAAAAACTTATTATTTCATTATTTTTAAATTGGAAAGGCAGATATACAGAGAAAAGGAGATACAGAAAGATCTGTCTGCTGGTTCACTCCTCACGTGGCCATAATGGTCAGACCTAGCCTGGCCCATTCTACACCCATCCTGGTTCTCACGAGCTCAAGTGGGTGCAAGAGTCTAGCCCAGTACGGTACAACCCAGACCCAGCGCACACCCATGCTAAGGGAGACTGTACCCGTGTCCAATCCAGACCACAGCACCCACCATGGTCCTTGCTGCTCACCAGTGGGAACTACAACCCAGGCAGGGCATCCCCTTACCACCCCCACCAGCCCCTGTTTCTAGCCACAGATCTCACACGTGCCAGTGCTTGCTCTGAGCTAGCTTGGCACAGCCCCTCATCTGCCTTGGCCTTTGAATGCTATAGACTGGCCTGAGCAGCCTGACCCAGCCAGCCTCCAGTCCCGATTCTCGCTGGTGGTTGTTGCAACCTGATCCTGCTCAGTTTGTTCCCATCCCTGGCTCTTGCAAACTGGCAGGTGTGATATCCTAGCCCAGAATGATCTACACTCCAATCTGGTTTCTGCACTTGCCAGTGAGCTATGGTCTGCTTGGTCCTGCCCAGTCCTTCCCCTTCCAGATCCAGTCCGTATTCCTGCCGATGGATAGAGCTGCCTTGCCCAGCTTGCCCAACACCCAGGCCTGGACCAGGTGCTCACCAGCGGAAGCTATGGCCCCCACTTAGCTCATTCCCAGACCTACATCTCACATATGCTCTCGCAGGTGCCAAGCCCCTGCTGGGCATGGCCTTCTCCCTCCATCCCAGCCTTTGTATGAGCTGGTGGATAATGCAACCCAGATGTACCACACCCTTTTAGGGATGTGCATCTGTACTGACCAGTCTTTTCCCAGTCCCAGTACCTGTGAGTGTTGGCAGATTCCATGGTGACACCTAGCTCAGCCCCTACCACTCCAACTCTGAAGTTACCCAGCGGGGTTTGTATGTCCACAGGGTTGGGTCCACATATCCGCTACAGAATCTACCCCCAGACCTGGTTCTTTTATGCATGCTGGTTGGTGTCATGGCCCGGCATAATGTGTCCTGACCACTCTTCCGACACTCACTGTCATGTACTGGTATCTAGCCCTGCCAGACAGACCCCCCAGCCATAGCTTTCCTGTGGGCTGGTCAGCAATGTTTCATGCTAAAAAACCCAGCTCAGGACTCCCATGTAGGCTGGAGCATTGGTATGACCTATAAAGGTCTTCTGGTCTCTCCCCTTCAAACCACCAGGTCTCAGTTGTCTTGCTTACTTGGCAACTATAGTGGACTTACCTTTGGAGTCCCTTGGCAGTCATTCCTTACCTACATTTACAGTGGCTTTTTTCCAGGCATGTCCCTCAGCAGTAATCCCTCACCTGGGCATGAATCCATAGGCCACTACTCTGCCTCACCAGTGTGATTCCCCCAATCTACTTGCAAATTCTGAAGCAAAAGTTCCTTGTGCATGCCACTGGCAGCCCAAGGGTTACACCCAGTGCCGTTGGCATCTGGGCCGCCCATCCCAGGGCCGCCCATGCCCACCTCTGGATACTGGCAAAAGGACCCTTTAGTAGGGTGATTGGCTCTTGAGGAGCATGTGTGGTCTCGGTGACCCCAGACTGGCCCATCCTGGGGCAAGCCTTGCTTCTCTCATTTTTTAAAAAAAAGCTTTATTTATTTTCATTGCAAAGCCCAATATACAAAGAGGAGGCAAGACAAAGAGGAAGATCTTCTGTCTGATGGTTCACTCCCCAAGTGACCACAATGGCTGGAGTTGCACCAATCTGAAGCCAGGAGCTTTTTCTGAGTCTCCCATGTGGGTGCAAAATCCCAAGGCTTTGGGCTGTCCTCAACTGCTTTCCCAGGCCACAGGCAGGGAGCTGGATGGGAAGTAGGGCTGCTGAGATTAGAACCAGCGCCCATATGGATCCCTGCATATGCAAGGTGAGGACTTGAAGCTGCTAAGCTATCACATCGGGCCTGTTTCTCTCATTTCTTTTTTTTTTTTAAGATTTATTTTTATTATTCTTTTATTGGAAAGGCAGATATACAGAGAGGAGAGACAGAGAGGAAGATCTTCCGTCCAATGATTCACTCCCCAAGTGAGCACAACGGCCGGTGCTATGCTGATCCGAAGCCAGGAGCCTCTTCTGGGTCTCCCACTCGGGTGCAGGGTCCCAAAACTTTGGGCCGTCCTTGACTGCTTTCCTGGGCCACAGGCAGGGAGCTGGAAGGGAAGCAGGGCTGCCAGGATTATAACTGGCACCCATATGGGATCCCAGAGCGTGCAAGGCGAGGACCTTAACCACTGCGCCACCGTGCCGGGCCCTGTTTCTCTCATTTCTTAAAAATCTTCATAAGTTGTGAAGTTCTTTCCTCTTTTATTCAATTGAAATTCATAATTTGTATCCCTTTGGTTGTTATCTTTAAAATATTACCATGCACATTTGACTGAAATGTCTAAGTTTAAATAAGACCTCGCAAGAGTGTGTTAGCAAAGGGCTTGCTCTTTTCTAACCACATCCCCTCTTGATGTAAATTTAATTATGTCCTCTTAACTGAAAATGCAGTTATTGCTAGTAGAATCACTAGCTTGCACAGCGCTTGAATTCACACACATGCTTACCACGTAGTCACCATTCTGTCTTGTATCTTCGTCTCTCCCTCTGGAATTACTTTTCTTCCTGACGTACATTCGTTAGAAATTCCTGTAAGGCAATGGACAGAAGTTAGTTTTTTTTTTTTTTCACAGTTGCATGCCATCTCCAGATAATTGCATTCTCTGGTCATCTAATTACATCTTACAAAACCAATTTTGGTTTTTCCCCGGTAGTTCACTTACTGCTGTTCTGGCTCTGCGTCTGACTGTTCAAATATTCCCTTTCACTGGTAGTCTGGTTTTCCACTGATGCTAGCCTTTGGTGCTCTTGTGAACTCACTGATTGATCTTATTATGTAGTAGTCCTAATGGGATTTTTTTCCAGAAAAGATTTACAGGGTGCTGTTATTATAGGATAACTCCAACATCCCCCAAAGTCCCCAGATTATCCTCCTACCCTGCAGAGGCACAAGATGCCACGTCCTGCTGGAGTGCTGTGGTTGACAACTGTCAAGGGACAGTGCCAAGTGACTACCACTCTGCCCTCAGCTCACTGGGGTTATGCTGGTTTTGTGTATTTATCTCTTTAAATATGGAGACAAGGGTAGTCCTCTTTCTTTGTTTCTAACTGGATGAAATTCCTCCTTTTTATCCAATCATGTTATTGACCTTTATCTTGCAAATTTAATATTCTTACCACTTAGTTGATTATTTTTCAGCATCATTGGTAATCTAAGAAATCCCATCTGCAAATTGAGATATATTCTTCAAAAATATCTACTGGCAAAAACAAGACTCTTAAATACTTTTAAATTGAATATAGGGGCC